AACCCTGCCAGCAGGAACGTCCTGGGACGAGTCCCCTCCTAAGCCCCAGCAGCCCCCCCGGCCTGGCACACCACAGCCCACACGCTGACTGCGCAGTGGGTGTGCTTAGTCACTTCTTTGTATTGTTTTTGTTGTTTTTTCCTTCCCTAGTAAATCAGCACAAAAACCACTGCTTCTCTCAAGAACTCGAGAGCTCCAGTCCCGACGATGCTGCTCACAGCTTTGCTGAGCAGCAGGAGAACAGAACAGACAGGAACAGTTTCTATTAATAAGCTCAGGTTCACAGAGCTGCTCGGGCAGTTAATCCCTCCTGATATCAGATTAATGATTAAAGACTTGACTTTTTTAATCTGTCACATGTAACCAATTATGTGAACACAGTTCATCTTACGTAATTCCACATGATCACACTAATTTCTAGGCAACTATCATTCCTTCTCCGTTTAAGAAACTCTGCTGCCTAAGTGACACAAACGAGGCCAAAGGAACAAAAACTCAACAGTGGAAAAAGCATCCACATCAGGATAATTATGTCCCATACAATTATATTTATTTCCACACACGCATCAGCCTTCATGGTTTTAACTCTGCCAAGCAGATCAGCCCTCCAACACTGCAGCACTCTCCCAAACACCCTCTAAGAGCAGCACAGGATCCACAGCTCTAGCCCTAGACTTCTAAGACACTACTAAAGACAGGAAACGCCACGCAGGAAGCCCAGTCCACAAGGAAACACGCGATCCACCTGACACTATCCAAACACAGTTCTGAGAACTCTTTGCTAGGAACAGGAACACAAATATGTCTTTCCAGGTTCTAAATTAGCTGATTAAGGTCACACAGCTCATTAGCTTAATCAAATCTGTCACTCAGTAAGTGTCCAGGAAGGCCTGGCAGAGCAATAGAGACACTGCAGCAGCCTAGAGAACACATCCACGTAACTGAGAAACAAAACAAAACAAGCCCTTTTTCAAATCTTGCCACCATTAAGGCACAGCAAGCTTCCAGCAAAAAGAAAGCTGCTGGCAGGCGTCACGTGGGTTGAGAGATACTGAAGTCACCACTGCCTTGAACCTGTAATTTCACTGTGACTTGAACAAAGAGGAAAAAAAAGGGCACGGAAAAAGGCTTCTCAACTAGGATCTGGCAAATGCTACATGCACACATGGGAAAAATACCACCTCTCCATGGAGGCATGACCTCAAAATATTCACAGAACATAAAACACCTCTCTGAAAAGTCAGAATCTGAACTTTTTAAATAAAAAAAAACACCACCGCACAATCCATTACATGAAAACTTCCATACGAGACACTAACTTGGTTATTGACTTGAGCAGGAGGTTGGTTACTCAAGTCTGAACACAAAAAAAAACAAACATAACAATTGCCTGTGGGCAAACACAGATTATTGACATACCGTGTTTGGGGAGAGTCTCAAACATTTGAGGGCTGAAAAACACTCCTGCCTTTCCAACTTGCTTCAAGTATTCCTTAGCTGAAACAATTTTCCAGAGTACCACCTGCTCATCTTGCAGAAAAGATCCTGAGCTCAGAGAAAGCTCTCTACGAGACAGAGGTGAGTGCCTAAAAGCCAGCAGCACGGGTGAAGATGCACGACAGCCGCTGTGTGGGACAGACAGACAACCTGCTGCTGACCACCCGGTGACTCAAAACAGCAGCTGGTTATCAGAGCAATACAGCAAGATGCAAAGGGACCCCCTCACGTCCCACATCTCTCCTACCCTTTTCACAGCTCACTTAGTAACTACTAAAGGTGAGGTTTTGTTTGGGTTTTAAAGCAGCTACAACATCTAGCAGCAAATAATTTCCCTTTCCTCTCAGAATATTTTAAACAAGTGAGAGGGATAAGTACCATAAAAAAAAAATATAGACACAGTCCCAAAGAGAATCACCTGCTGAGGAGCACAAGGCACACAGGCAAGCGCACAGGTAGAACAGCTGCAGGCTTCTCAGCTCCCTTGCAGGTTTTCCCAGGCAGTATCGTGACAGAAATCGGGTGCTAATGCTGAACTTGGCCTCCAATCTCTTCTCCATGGCCTTTGTGGGCAGCAGCAGGGTTCTGGAAACAAATAAGAAACATAAAACATCAACCAGCAACTGATACGGTCTTACACAGATCCGGGCAACGCTATAAAGAGCACGGAGCGTTTGCGGAGGAAAAGGAATGTCTTATCTTATCTGCTGCGACTTAGTCCAACTGCTGCTAAGTAACTATCGAGGTATGATATTAAAATGAAATCTCTAGCAGCAAAGTTTCCAGCGTGGAACTGCAGCAGGCCACCACGATGGCCTGCCCCATCACCCTCGTAATTTCCTCCTCCCCTGCTTTCAGGGGCAAAACATCTAATATTGCAGCCCACTGGATTCCAGAGATGCATTTGGGAAATTGCAGTTTCAACCACGCCACAGGCAACGGACACCCAGCCAGCAGCACAAGCACAACACGGGCACTGAGAAACCCAGCACATCTGCCTGGCACTGTCATCGTTGCACGCTGGTGCTGCCTGGCACCAGCCAGAAACAAAGAGAGACAAGAACACAGCGATGCTGAGGAACACGGAGCTCAAGACCTGTTTTGCCTCACGTTTTGCTCCGCAGGGCAAAGATCATGAAAGCACTTACGCTCCTCCTCAGCCTTTCCGATGCCGAAGGCTCTTTTACAGCCTCATACCTCGCTGAAATCTACATTAGCTCGACATGACGTGACACAAAAACATTAATTATTTCACAAGTAACGAACATTATCTATTTTCAAAGAGTAACGAAGCACTTTGAGGCGAAAAAACCCTGCCGTTTCTGAAGACTCAGAAGGGAGCACCGTTACCGACGTACCAGTGCCCTGATCAAACACCCAGCGTTTGCTTCGCTCGCTCGCCCGGCAGCCGCGGAGCACCGGACACAGGAGGAAAACTTCACGGCAGGAGACGCGAACCCGCGGCTCTCCGGCCAACGGGTCGGTCAGGGAAGTTCCCGTCCCCCGGGGCTCCGCTCCGCGGGGCCGCCCAGCCGCGCGGGACGAGACGGGCTCG